ATAAATTCCCTATCCGCATTTCAAGTTACCCTAGTATACCAACCTAAGCACCTTTAAGCAAAAACTGCGGAAAATCATTAATCAGTAATTTCAGTCGTTAAAACTAGTAGTTACTATATTTATAATTAGCATATCAACTTACCATAAAATACCATTTCCCAGCTCTAGAAAGAAAATTGCAAAATTAAAGCGATTAAACCAATTAATATTTTTCCCGATAAAGTGGCCTGCAGTAGTCTAAAGCGTATGTGTGCAAAGTTTGGCCCGGATCCGTTCCGAAACAAAAATTCTTATTCGATGATATATATATATATATACATAAATATATTATATATATATATATATAAACATAAACACACTAACTCACAAAATACAGATACACGCACATACATACATACACACATACACACACCACACACATACATACATACACACATGCACATACGCACATACACACATAAACACATAAACACATAAACACACATACACACACCATACACACACCATGCACATACACACATACACACATACGCACATAACACATATACACATACATACGCACCACACATCATCACACAATACACACATACATACATAGGCACATGCATACATACACACATAAACACACATACACACGCACCATGTACATACACACATACACACATGCACACATACACACATACACACATAACATACACACATACATACGCACCACACATACACACATACATATGCACATACACATACTAGCCCACACACACACTTACACACATACAAAGGTAACAATATCTACAGAGCGCGATTGAATAGTAACTTCGGGTAGCTCAGCGGTAGCCGTAATACATAAATAATTAGTTATCAATACTCCACGTGCTGTAGTACCTCAAAAACAACTCCCAAATGTAAAGCTCGGAATGAAAAGGTGTATAGAGCTATGTAAATGCGTGACCCATATGATTTGTTTCCGTTTACAACGGGGGTCAAGTTTTCGAACACATCCAAATTTTAGTGATAGTATAAGAAAATGAGTTGAAAGTATGAGTAGCATCGAGGAAGTAACATGTGCGGTCTAGCTATAAGAATCGAAACCGATTTTACGTGGAAAACTAATGACTAGTAGTTGTCTACTTCTTGCATGGCTTTATAGCTCTTTTCTTGTTTTACAATATTTTTCTAAACTTTTTGACCGATTATTTAAGTTCCACTAAACGTCGCATTCTTAATCTTAAGGTGGGCCGTCGAGCACACCTAATACTTTTTACCACAAATCAGGTTAATAAAAGGATCCCTGTCGATATATAACAAACTTTGTAAGTCTTTAAAGAACATCGAAAAAGTTCCAAGAGAATTGCTTTATTATCCATCTACGTATATTTTCAGATGGAAATACCTTAAACACAGCGGTTTATAGATAATGAGCAGAGTGAACATGGACATCACCGCTGATTTCGATAGTGCGGACTTCATTGCTGGGCAAACGCTCAGCGAATGAGGTGAAAAACGTTCCGTTGAGGAGAACCTTTAACACAAAGACTGCAATTCTACGCAGTGATAGTGAAGTAAGTATTCACCTGAATTTGGCCATAATTAGCGATGATCTCCACAGTGTAGACTCTGTCGGCATGGAATGGCATACTGGTGCGCTCTTCATTTTGCCAGCCTCCACTGCTAGTAGAGTTACAGACCACGCAATTCTCCTTTAGTTTGTACAAATTATACTTTTGTAAGAAAGACCTGATATGCATTTCATGCCAC